CCCCACCCTGATCCAGGACAGCCTTCAGGGCAAACCAGCCGGCCCCCACCCATGCACCAGGCCTCTATCCTATATAGTAAAAGGGTAATATGCCTCCCAGCACCAGAATCAGCAGAGCAGCGAGGCCTCCCAGCACCGGGATCAGCGGAGCTGCGAGGCCTCCTGGCACTGGGATCAGCGTGACAGGGGGCAGCGCCCAAACCCCCTGATTGCCCTGCGGCTCTGTGTGTGACAGGGGGCGGGGCCACAACCTCCCGATCCGCCCTGCTCTGTGCATGACAGGGGGTGGTGCCCCAACTCCCCAATCAGCCCTGCTCTGAGCCCAACCAGGGGCTGCACCTAGGGATTGGGCCTGCCCTCTGCCACCTGGGAGCAGGCCTAAGCCAGCAGGTCGTTATCTCCCGAGGGGTCCCAGATTGCGAGAGGGCACAGGCCGGGCTGAGGGACACCCCCTCCCCACCGAGTGCACAAATTTTTGTGCACTGGGCCTCTAGTATATATGTAAATATATATATTATATATATTTAAAACTTTAAAAAATTAAAGACTTTAGTGTGAAAGGCAAAACATGAGAACATTAGAAATAAATATAGGAGAGTATCTCTAAGAACTTAAAGCTTTAAAAAAAAACTACTAAATAAATGAATTCGACAATGTAGCAGGATACAAAAGTAACACCCAGATACCTATGGCTTTTTTATACACTAATAATGAACTCAGAGAAACTAAAAAAAAAAAAAAATCCCATTTACCATTACAACAAAATTAAGATACCTAGGAATAAACTAAGGAGGCAAAAGACCTATATTCAGAAAACTAGAGGACAATGAAAGAGATAGAGGAAGATATAAACAGATGGAAGAACATACCATGTTCATGGGTCAGTAGAATCAACATCATTCAAATGTCCATATTACCCAAAGAAGTCTATAGATTCAATGCAATCCCCATTAAAATACCAATGGCATATTTCACAGACCTAGAACAAACTCTACAAAAATTCATCTGGAATAAAAAAGACCTCGAATAAACTGTAGCAGTCCTGAGAAAGAACAAAGTCGGAGGGAGGATCACAATACTAGATATCAAGCTATTTTACAAAGCCACTGTTCTCAAAACAGCCCAGTACTGGCACAAGAACAGACATGTAGATCAATGGAACAGAACAGAGAACCCAGAAATTGACCCAAGCCATTATGCTCAATTAATATTTGACAAAAGAGGCAAGAACATACAATGGAGTCAAGACAGTCTCTTCAATAAATGGTGTTGGGAAAATTGGACAGATACATGCAAAGAAAATGAAACTAGACCACCAACTTACACCATACACAAAAATAAACTCAAAATGGATAAAAGACTTAAACAGAAGATGGGAAACCATAAAAATCTTAGAAGAATCCATAAGCAGCAATATATCAGACATATGTCATAGCAATATCTTTACCAATGCAGCTCCTAGGACAATGGAAACTAAGGAGAAAATAAACAAATGGGACTGCATCAAAATAAAAAGCTTCTGCACAGCAAAAGAAACCATCAACAAAACAGCAAGAAAGCCCACTGCATGGGAGAACATATTTGCCAATGTTATCTCCGATAAGTGTTTAATCTCCAAAATTTACAGGAAACTTAAACAACTTAACAAAAGGAAGATAATCTAATAAAAAATGGGTAGCTTTAGCTGGTCTGGCTCAATGGTTGGAGTGTCAGCCTGCTGACTGAAGGGTCCCAGGTTCAATTCCAGTTGGGCACATGCCCTGGTTAAGGACTCGATCCCCAGTAGGGGGCATCCAGGAGGCAGCCGTTCAATGATTCTCATCATTGATGTTTCTATCTCTCTCTCCCTGTCTCCCTTCCTTTCTGAAATCAATAAAAAAATATATATTTTTTTAAATGGGCAAAGGACCTAAATAGACACTTTTCAAAAGAGGACATACAGAAGGCCAAGAGACATATGAAAACATGCTCAAAGTCACAAATCATCTGAGAAATGCAAATCAAAACAACAATGAGGTACCATCTCACACCTGTCAGAATGGCTATCATCAACAAATCAATAAACGACAAACAAGTGCTGGCGAGGATGCGGAGAAAAAGGAACCCTCTTGCACTGCTGGTGGGAATGCAGACTGGTGTAGCCATTGTGGAAAACAGTATGGAGTTTCCTCAAAAAGTTAAAAATGGAACTCCCATTTGACCCAGTGATCCCACTTCTAAGAATATATCCCAAGAAACCAGAAACACCAATCAGAAAGGACATATGCACCCCTATGTTCATAGCTGCACAATTTACAATAGCTAAGATTTGGAAACAGCCTAAGTGCCAATCAGCAGATGAGTGGATTAAAAAACTGTGGTACATCTACACAATGGAATACTACACTGCTGTAAAAAAGAAGGAATTCTTACCATTCGCAACAGCTTGGAGAGCATTATGCTAAGCGAAATAAGCGGATCAGAGAAAGATAAATATCACATGATCTCACTCATTTGTGGAATATAATGAACAACATAAACTGATGAACAAAAATAGAGTCAGAAGCATGGAACAGACTTCCCATCCTAATAGGATAGTTGGCGGGGGGAGGGGAGTTAAGGGATCAATCAAAGGACCTGTATGCAGGCATATGAGCATAACCAATGGTCACAAACACTAGGGGGTGGGGGCATGTGCTGGGGAGAGGTCAATGGGGAAAAAAAGAGACACATGTAATACTTTCAACAATAAAGAATTTAAATTTTTTAAAACTTTTACGGCACACAAAAAAGTACAAAGCATAAACAAAAGATTGGTAGCCCGGGCTGTTTGCTCAGTGGTTAGAGCATCAGCCTGCAGACCGAAGGGTCTTAGATTTGATTCCCGGTCAAGGGCACATACCTCAGTTGCAGGTTTGATCCCCAGCCCCAATTGGGAGGCAACCAATCGATGTCTCTCTCTCATTTTGATGTTTCTCTCTTGCCTCCCTTTTCATTCTCTAAACATCATCAATGGAAAAAATATCCTCAAGTGAGGATTTTAAAAAAATAGATTGATAAATTCAATTGATAAAATGTAAAAATTTTATCAAAGAACATCATAAAGACTGAAAATATAAGGCACGAATGGGAGAAGATAATTGCAGCATATGTCACCAACGATGCGTTTGTAGCCAAAATATATAAAGAACTCCTGTGAGTCTATTTTTTTAAGTTTATGTTTTTAAAGAATAGTTTATTGATTTTTTAAAATCCTCACCTAATGATATTTTTCCATTGATTTTTAAAAAGTGGAAGGGAAGGGGAGACAGAAACATCAATGTGAGGGAGATACATCCATTGGTTGCCTCCCACATGCATCTGACCTGGGACTGGGGATGAGTCTGCAACTGAGGTAACGCGCCCTTGACCGGAATCAAACCTGGTCCGAGGGCTGATGCTCTATCCACTGAGCCAAACCAGCTAGGGCTAGTTTATTGATTTTTACATAGAGGAAGGGAGAAAGAAACACTGATCAGCTGCCTTCTGCACGCCCCTTACCTGCGATTGAGCCTGTAACACGAGCATATGCCCTGCCTGGGAATCAAACCAGCACCCTTTGGAGGCAGGGGGCAATGTGCAGCCAAGTCTGCCACACTGGCAGGGCAAGTCCATTTTTTTAAAAAAGGCTCAATCTATAGGAAGATGGGCTCAAAATAAATAGGCAGGCAACTTCAAAGAAGAACAGAGAACTGGCTTGATATGATAAATTTGATAAATTTTGATAAATAGGATAAATTTCCCAGCTGGTGTGGTTTGAATGTTGACCCATGAACCAGGAGATCATGGTTCAATTCCTGGTCAAGGCACATGTCCAGGTTGCAGGCTGGATCCCCAGAGGGGCATTCAGGAAGCAGCCGATCAGTGATTCTCTCTCATCATTGATGTTTCTCTCTCTCCCTCTCCCTTCCTCTCTGAAATCAATAAAAATATTTTTTTTAAAAAAAGAAGTACAAATTGGTGCCCTAGTCAGTGTGCTAAGTGGTTAGAGCATGGCTCATACACCAAAGGTTCCTGGGTTCAATACCCAGCCAAGGGCACATACCTCGATTTGCAGGTTCTATCTCAGCCCACGTCTCGGGCGCATGAGGGAGGCAACCAATTGATGTATCTCTCTCACCTTAATGCTTTCCCTTCTCTCTCTCTTCCTCTCCCTTTCTTTCTCTCTCTCTCTTTTTCTCTCTCTCTTTCCACTCCCTGCTCTCTCCTTCCCTCCCTCCCACTCTCTCTAAAAAAAATTAATGGAAAAGATACCCTCAAAAAAAGTACAAATTGGTAGTTACAAAATAGTCACAGGGATGTAAAGTACAGGATGGGGAATACAGTCAATAATATTGTAATAACCATGTATGGTGCCAGGTGGGCACTGGAAATATCAGGGGGCTCACTCTGTAAATTATATAATGTCCACTGTGCTGTACCCCTAAAACTAATATAAAAGCATTTCTCAGATAAAAAAAAATTTTAGTGCATGATTTTTTAAGTAACAAAATAATTTTTAAATATATAGTGAAACTAAGAGTTTATGAATTAAACTTTTTAAAAAGGGAAGATAAAACAACAACAAAAAAGGGGAAAGATAAAAATGCTAGATCAGGAAGCCTAAGAGAAGGTAGGTTAGGCTAAAACAATTCAAAAGACAAACTACAATCTGTCAACAGTGAGGACAAAATTAACTACGTCTTTAAAAGGGAAAAAGAGGCTGTAACCAGTTTGGCTCACTGGATAGAGTGTTGGCCTGCGGACTGAAAGGTCCCAGGTTCGATTCCGGTCAAGGGCATGTACCTTGGTTGAGGGCACATCCCCAGTGGGGGGTGTGCAGGAGGCAGCTGATCGATGTTTCTCTCTCATCGATGTTTCTAACTCTCTATCCCTCTCCCTTCCTCTCTGTAAAAAATCAATAAAATATATTTTTTAAAAAAAAGGGAAAAAGAGGTAGTTTAAGTGTGTGATGCGATGTCCCAGCCAGGTAGCTGGGTAGATTGGAGCATCATCCTATGCACCAAAGGCGGCCGGTTCCATTCTCCATCAGGCACATTCCTGATGGAGACACCAAAGAAAAGAAAGAGAAGAAGCAGAAAGTGGATGAAGATGAGATTCAAAAGATGCAGATCCTGGCTGCTTCTTTTTCTGAGGAGCAGCTGAACCGTTATGAAATGTACCACCATTCAGCTTTCCCTAAGGCGGCCATTAAAAGGCTGATCCAGTCCATCACTGGCACCTCCGTGTCTCAGAATGTGGTTATTGCTATGTCGGGTATTTCCAAGGTTTTCGTCGGGGAAGTGGTAGAAGAAGCACTGGATGTGTGTGAGAAGTGGGGAGAAATGCCACCACTACAACCCAAACATATGCGGGAGGCTGTTAGGAGGTTAAAGTCGAAGGGGCAAATACCCAACTCGAAGCACAAAAAAATCATCTTCTTCTAAGTCTGAAGCCGAGAAAGGCCTGGCGCTGGAGGACGTGCTGGTTCCAGACTTGGGATAGCAGGCTGTGCACTGGTGTTCCGGGATCTGCCCGTGTCTCAATGTCTTTCTCAACACTGTTCATCACACCTGGAAAGCATGCGGCCTGTGTCATACATGCCTTGACTAAATATTGGGACCTTTTGGGCATTTTGCAGCATTTAATTGTCTGGCTAGTTGGAAGCAGAAAGGCACATGGGCATGGCTTCCCTGGACAGGAGCTGCTTTCAGAGAGAAAACCTTTCCAAGAGAACTTTGATGGTTTCGCACTGGAGCCTGAAGTTGCGGTCTTAGGTTTTTACCTCTGGTTTTAAGTAGGGCGTGTACGGGAGGCAGCAGATTGATACCTGTTTCTCCCATCAATCCCTCTCTCTCTCTCTTTCTCTCTAAAAATCAATTAAAAAAACATAACCTGCAGAGAGGATTAAAATAATAAGAATGAGATGTGAGAGAAAATGAAGGTCATGAAAGGTCGTGCTGCCTGGAAGAGCGGGTGGAGAGAAGGGAAGGATGTGCATGGCAGGCTGGTGTCCTGCTCACCCTCCTGCCTGTCTCGCCACCCAGTTCAGGTTCAAGGATCTCCAGGTTACAAACATCATCAAGGCACCAGCTGCCTCTTGCTGCTTCCAAGGAGAAGCCACTCATGTCTTCAGTGGTTGGAGGAAAGGGAACCCCCATGTTGCACCCAACAGACAACAGACCCCTCTGTCCCACCCGCCTGTCTCTCAGAATGCCGCATGGCGAGGGCTCTGCTGGAGCGGGCCTTCCTACCGAGCTCCGTTCCCCTGAGCCCATGCTTCCGGGAGCCTCAGGGCTCCATCCCAGCACCCCAGCAGGCGCTCTGGCCTCCTGTTTCCTCGGCCCACAAGCCCTGGGGGGTTTCACCTTTGTCCCTGGGTGCTTCCCTACTTCCTTGGGCTGCTCTTCAGGCAACAGATCCCTAACCCAACATGTCCCTGTCCCTGCTTCACGCCACTGAGTGAAGATGCCCCGAGGGGAGATGTTGGCCGGAGAGCAGCCTTCAGGTTCTGCTCCTCCCTATGGCCCTTTAACGCTGGCTTTCGGTGGTGGGCCCACAGGCACTGTCCCTGTTAAAGTGCCTGTGATGCTCAAAATAGAGGTCCTACCATTTTGTCCTGTCAGCTATGAGTGTGAAAACCTGTCAGCCACCTGGCCACAGTCCGTGCTTCCTGCATAGCTGTTCCTAAAATAAACTTCTCATAACAAGGCTCATCTTTAACAAAATCTACCCTGTGGTCCTCAGTGTATGAAGCTGAGCATGTCCACGTGGATTTTTTCCAGAAGGTAACTGTGAGGTTTGTAATCCATGCCAAAACAGTTACTCATGAACACCCCCCACAGCGGCACGATGACTCCTAATGAAAAATTAACCCTGTCCTTATTTTAACCTAGCTGTTGTTTTCCTAGATGGTTTAAAAACTAACTTTTGTCAAAAGGGGGAAACAACTCAAGTGTCCCTCGTCAGATAAACCAGTGGGCGAAACGTGCTGTATCCACACCACAGCGTCCTGCCGGCCCCCACAAGGCACTGAAGTCCTGACACGTGCTACACGTGCTGAACCTTGAGGACGTGATGCTACAGGAAATAAGACAGACACACAAGAGGACCAGGAGTGTATGACGCCACCTAGAAGGGGACCTAGAACAGACGAATCCTGAGACAGGAAGCGAGCGGTGGTCGCAGGGGCTGGAAGATGGAGGGATGGGGAGAGACTGCTCAGTGTGTTCAGTTTTTGTTTCGGGGGCTGGAAAGTCCTGGCTGTGGATAGCGGTGGTGGTGAGACAGCACTGAGTGTAGTTCATGTGACTACACACGTGTAAACTGTTAAAGTGATAGTGCTATGTCTATTCTACCACCATAGAACACAAGGAGGAAGCGAAGAGGAGGGGCGGGGCGGGCAGGGGCACCTGTGAGCATGCCTGGCGGAGGCCGGTGCACAGAAGGCAAAGACAGATAAAAAGTAAGGAAGTCTAGTTCACCTGTACGCTGTTACAGAGAAGGAAACTTTGATGTCTAAGATTTATACCAAGATCAGAATAAAACCTCAACCTTCAAATCGAAAAAATCACTTACCGAAAGACGGGCGAGGGGAAGTGTGGCCTCAGCATCTTCCTGCTGGGTTCAGTCGCTGACCTCAGAGTTACCACGGACCATGCCCTCTCTCTTACTTTCTGCAAAAGTCAGTCTCCTACACCTGCCCGAGGGGGTCCCTGCACAGCTCTGTACATTCCCTTCCCTGGGTCCCTGGCCTCACCTTTGTCTGCATCCCATGGGCCTGCGGGACCCACTGCCCACAGCCCTGGTTCAGAAGAAACACTCCCCCAACACACACACACACACACACACACACACACACACACACACACACACCAACATCCTCACTCTGCCAGAGCCCAGGCCCAAGGCCCCGACTCTCACCCAGATCCCAGGTGGGTGCTCCTGCTCCACGGCAGGAAGAGGCACCGTGCCCTCAAGGCCTCCCCTGTCAGGGGCTTGGGCTTAAACACGGCACCCCCCCCCCAACCCCCCACTTTGCTGAGGGCAGAAGCAGCCCAGCAGCCCCTCTCCCAGTGAAAGCCTCTCATCATCTTTGCTCTCCTTAACCTTTTGTATGCTCTTTGTGGTTTTAGAACAATCTAAACTCTTCTGCTTTTTAAAGTCTAATTTCACATAAATCATTTGAAAGTGTACAGTTCAGTGGCAGTTAGTATATTCACCATGTACAATTTCCTGCTCAGAGAATATCATTCCAACAATTACCCTTGCGACTCAGCTGAAGAAAGAGGACGGTGGAGGAGAGGTTGAAGGAGAAGGTTCCAGACAGAGGGAACAGAATGTGCGAAGGCCGCAAGCAGGACAGCTCCTTTTACTGAAAGAACTAGAGCAGCTCAGTGTGGCTGGGCAGTGCAAGCAGGTGATGGACACGCTTGTCCGTGGTTTTCTTGTTCAGGAGCAGAAGCCCTGGCCGCTCTGGGAAGCCCTCACCCACGAGGGGTTAAGTGCCCCTCTGATGTCCTACCATGTTGTCAGTAACTCCCTCAGCCCTCCACTCATGACCACGAATCTGCCCTTGCCCCTCCTTGGTCCCTCCTCAGCTCCCTTGGGTCTGGAAACTCCTGCAGGGCATGGACCATGTCTGTGTGGAATCAGTAAGGCCATTTAATTGTTACCTGAAAAGCCTTTCGGTTCATCAGATTCACTGTGAGCTCCCTGGTCTCCAGCACCAGTGATGCCCACGCGGGAAGTCCTCCTGCGGGGCCACCTGACTGGGCCCAGGGGAGCTGATGGGAGCAGGTCCCTGCCTCTTCCTGCCCCCCTCACGGAGATGGACCCCAGTCCCTGCCGTTACCTACTGAAGCTGGAACACAATGAGGGGGCACAGAGTGTGAGAGGCCCGTAGTCATGAGCAACAAAATACCTGTCGGGCGGATGTGCTGGTGATGCGCCAGCTGGGAAGGGTGCAGGGGGCTGCACACACCCGCCCTGGGCCCAAGCCCACCACACAATGGATCAGACAGTCTCACCAGATGAGGCAGTTCAGTCTAAGGCACCTGTGAGAATCTGGAGCCCCTGGGCATCTGGGGACAAAGGCGGGGTCCCAGGGGTGGCAGATCTGAGGAACTGGCCAGGCCCACTTCCCTTCCAGGCACCACTTTCCCAGCCACCCTTCAGACCTGTGGGGCCATGTGACTGGTCCCAGCCAGTGCGACCAGGGTCCCATGACTGGCAGGTCTAGCCTGGAGGTCAACATCCCACACTCTGTCGCTGGCTGCCTTCTTCCCCGTCAGCAGAGCCTCCCTGTCCCCAACCTTCTCACCTGGAACCACCCCAACTTCTCACCTGGACTCACCCCACTCCTCTCCAAGTCCCTTCGCCAGGAGTCCCTGCAGCGCTAAAGAGGTGGGTCCCTTTCTTCCCGCTGAGTCTGGAATGTTAGCAGGTGTGACACCTGCAGAGGCTTGAAAATGCATTTGCTTGTTTCTGCTTCCCTTGGGCTCATTCAATCACCTGGAAGCCATGCCTGAGCGAGCCTGCTGGAACCTAGGAAAGCCCAGGCACCCTGTCACTCAGCCAACCCCACGGCACGGGAACCAGCCACCCAGGACGTGTGGACAAAGCCGAGACCAAAGAGCTGCCCAGCCAAGCCCCACCTTCATTGCTGACTCACAGAATTCAGCTAAGGAAATGTTTATTATTCTTTTGTGATTGATTTTATGCAATAGTCTTGTGTCAGTAGATAAATGGAACAGAGGCATCTGAAAAAGACTAAATGGAGCAGATCCACCACCATCCCGTGGGGCTCAGATGTTCACAAACAGAAGCTTTACTGTGCTGTCACAGGAGACTCGGGTGAGCTTGTTACTGCGGCAGAGCCTGTCCTGTCCTGACTAATCCACAAGGACACAGATCACAGGCCCTGTCTCTGCCCTGGTGCCTGAGACGCATGAGCAGAGGGGAGCTGGTAGGTTAATTCAAATGCAGGAACAGCAATTAGCTCCCAGCTTTTGGTAAAGAAGTGCTGGCCCGTCTTGCGGAAGCCAAGGCACTGGTAGAGGGCCAGGGCGGAGTACTGCAGCATGCTGGTGCTGAGGACAACCTCACGGTAGCCCTGGTCCCGCGCAAACTGCAGGACGGTCCTGACCAGGGCTTTCGCTATCCCCTGGCCCCGGTGCTCCCAGGCCACGCTTAAGTGAAGCAGCTCCACCTGCTCCTTCCGCAGGGTGGACTCCCCAACTGGCAGAGCTCCCACCGTGCCCACCACCCGCCCCTCACACTCAGCCACCCAGAAGCAGGAGCCTGGCTCACTCAAGTAGGTTTTGCTGATGTCACGCATGTCTGTGCGCAAACAGTTGGACACATACTGGGTCCAGGGGTATTTGGCCAGGAACCTCAGGGCAGCCAGGAGGGTGAGGCCGGCCATGAGGGCCAGGAGCCAGGACCCAGAGACCACAAACAGGGCGAGGGGCCCCCCAAGCAAGA